ATTATTATTATTATTATTATTATTATTATTATTACTACTACTACTACTATTACTACTACTACTACTACTACTACTACTATTATTATTCAGGACTGTCAGGGCTCAGTGGAAGCGCCAGGATCAGCGCCAGTCTCCAGCTGGAGCTCGGTGCTGATCCTGGTGCTTCTGCTGAGCCCTGAAGAAGCACCAATCAGCTGGAAAGCAGCACTGATCCTGATGCTTCTCCTGAGCCCAGAAGAAGCGCCGATCAGCTGGAATGTTGCAGCATCTCCAGGGTCTTATGATTTACATTCAGATGCTTGGCAACTGATTCATATTTATGATGGTCACAGTGTCCCAGGGTCATGTGAAGTGACCAAAACCTGCTGCAACCACCCAGCAGATGGGGGAAATAAAAACCAAACACCCCCACCCCACCCCCACTGCCAATCCTCAACAGAAATGCTCACAACAATGAAAACCTCAGTCAGGAGGAAGAACACCACTGGATGGGCAGGCAAGTGTCTTGCTCGGCTGTGGCTTGGGGGGGCACTTTTTTCAGTGCCATTGTAACTTCGAACAGTCACTAAGCGAACTGTTGTAAGTCGAGGACTACCTGTACTTTAGCACTTTTTTCCTCTTTCTTTTGGGTCAAGTTTTTGACACTTTGCTAGGCGACTGGTGGTACTCGGATGTTGCCATATCCTAAAAGTGGTACAATGGGTGAAAAGGTTAAAAAGCCCTGCCCTATGCCATCCGTCTGGTAAACTCGCAAGATTCATTTTTCTCGCCATGCACATGTACACATAACCCGAACTAAACTGTTGTTTCTCTGTGTCATATAATATATGTGGGTATATACATAATTCTGTATTCATTTATTTATTTTTGTCATATTTATGTTGTGTCTATCAGAGGTGAGAGCTGTGTGCAACAAAATTTCATTTTAATATTTGCCCATTAGTATACATTCAAAGTGACAATAAAGTTATATTATTCTTCTGTTATTATTCTTCTATTCTTCAAAAGCACAGTAAATCCTCCACCTGTTGCATCTGACACTGACAAAAACCTAAGCTCAAGAGGGCCTTGATCAGGCTGCCCTCGAAAACTGCAGTAGGAATTAGCTCAAATCTAGCAAGAGTCAGGGCCCTTCATAAATTACATTTATCCACTACTTTCAATGGTGGAATTCAGCTGGTTCGCACCGGTTCAGTAGAACCAGTAGCTAAATTTTGTTGAGTTCGGAGAACCAGCTAAACCCATGCTGCTTCTGGAAGTCCATTCTAGGCTTCAGAGGCCTGGAGGAGATCTCCCAGGTCTAGAACGGCCCACCAGAAGTGCATGGATGTCACTTCCAGAAGTCCATTCTAGGCCTCAGAGGCCCAGGCCTGCATCCACACAGAAAACCGGATATTTAGGTATTTGAGTCCCACCACTGACTACTTTTAAGTAATGTTACTAAGTGAACAAAAGATGTTAGAAAGTTTTGACTTCAACATTGCATGTGTTTGGGCTGGAGTTTGGCCGTTTTCTCCAGTAGTCAATCTTTAACTTTTTTTTTTCACGAGAAAGTGTCTCCCCATGTTTATGCTCTTTTACATCCATGGCAGAGCAGTGGGCCTCTAAGTGATAGTTGATTGGTCCTCAATAGATTGAAAATGTACTAAAAGAAATTGGGTTGTGCTACATGATTAGAAGAGATTTCAAAAACAGGAATGTTGGATTTGGCATCAACTAGAAGTAAGAGACACCCAGACCAAACAATAGCTTGGTGGAACCCCATGGCTGTGATGCATGGGCAGATCTCTCCATTCCCAAAAAGCAGGACTGTGTGAATGTGAATCACATTCTTGAGAGAGCAAGAAAGGGAAGAAGAAGAAAAAACCTTGGATTTTGTCCAAAACAGACAAATGTTAATTTATATTCTATAAGAGAACTTTCACATCTCCGTATCACAGAGATCTCTCGTGTTTTTAGTGTAAAGGTTTGTATATGCTTATGTGTATATCTCTGTGTGTCATAAATGGAATTTAAATGTATAAATATTTTAAGTTTGGAATGGAGTTAGGAAATTTTGCTCAAGCAGCTACATTTTTTCCCCTCAGTCTTTGGACACCAGACACAGAAGAAAGGAGGCAATTGGCTCTTACTCCCCAAATACCACTTCATTTATCTCTCAAGGGAAGTGTCTTCTGCATCCAAACAGATGGGCAGAGCTTTTGCCAAGCAAACAGTTTTCCTCATTTGCTGGGAACACAAAAATCAGACAGTTGTCTGCTTTTCATTCTTCGCTGTTCTCAACTAGCAGTAAAAGAATCTCCATATTTCCCAGCGCGTTTATTTGTATCAGCTTTAGATGGAAAGAAGCAGTCAAATCAGGGAAAAGATTGGGAAGACTGTGGTTTTATTGACACAGGCCTCTACCTTAATGCACATATTTGATTCGTTCAGTAATGTTGCATTGCAATGTAGTTTGTGTTATTCTGCTGTGAACAACCTTGTATACTTCACTGTCCAAGAGCAAAATGCCCATTCCTCTCTAGTCCCTGTACAGGCTATTGAATCTAATTTCAACACAGGAAATATAAGCAGTCCTTGTCTTATGACCACAATTGAGCCCCAAATTTTGGTTGCTAGGTGAAGCATTTGCTAAGTGAATTTTGCCCCATTTTGCAACCTTACAGTTGTTAAGTGAATCGCTGCAGTGATTAAGTTACTAACAAGGTTGTTCAGAGTGAATCTGGCTTCCCTATTGGCTTTGCTTCTCAGAAGGGTTGCAACAGGAGATCACATGACCCCAGGATATTGCAAAAGTCATAAATATGACCCAGTTGCCAAGGATCCAAATTGTTGTCACCATGGGGATACTGCAATGGTTGTAAGTGTGAAAAACAGTTGTAAGTCAGTTTTTTCAGTGCTGTTGTCACTTTGAATGGTCACTAAATGAACTATTGTAAGTCGAGGACTACCTGTATGTCTTCCATGACATGTGAAGCCGTAGAACAGACATATCAAACACAAGGCCCAGGGGCCGGATGCGGCCCACGAAGTGGTTTCATATGACCCGCAAAGCCATCCTAGAAACAGTGAGGGAACGGCCCCTGCTACCTTGGCCCTGGCCCAGGCCGGCCGGCAGCCAATGTACAATTTTGTGGTGGCCATCTATGCTGAAACATATTCAGTCTTGCCTCCACAAGGCTGTCTGGAAATAGCAAGGGACCAGCCCCTGCCGCGTTGGCCCTGCCCCCTGGCTGCATGCTGGGGAAGTGTCACCCTTTGTGAGGAATGAAGAAATGGACTATGCCAGTGATGGCGAACCTTTTAGAGACCGAGTGCCCAAATTGCAACCCAAAACCCACTTATGTATCGTCGGTTGCCAGGTGGGCGTGGCCCATTGGGTGGGTGAGGCTGCGGTGGTAACAGCAGACTGGATGGGACTAAAAGGTTCAATCAATCAATTCTAATTTTGCGAAATCTTTTTTTTCCCGTGAGAAGTTGAAATTGATTGATTGAACCTTTTTTTTTTTGCACACGGCAGCAGAGGCCTAAAGCGAAAAGGTTTTATAAAAACCAGCTGAAGGCCTAGGACTTGGGCGATGGCCCGTGTGCGCACAGAGAGGGCTCTGCGTGCCACCTGTGGCATGCGTGCCATAGGTTCGCCACCACGGGACTATGCCTTGGCACTTGCCCCGGTCCCACCCCCTTCTGCCAGAGACCCTCAGATCTGTCCCACTCTGCCCAGGCCCCCACAGGCCCCCTTGACGTGAACGATGTAGAGCTGGCCATGCCCACCCAGTAGGCCACACCCACTCCATCCATGCCCAACCAGTAGGCCACACCCACCCTGGCCACACCCACCCACCCATCCACCCCTGAGGGCAACCGCAATGTTGATGTGGTCCTCAATGAAATTGAGTTTGACATCCCTGCCGTAGAATAATAAAGTCGGAGTATTGATGAAGAGTATCTCTGCTATCCTTCCCCTGCTACGCTTAACACTTAAGGTTACTCTCTTATTCTGCCACATGGTAGGTAGACTCGGGACATCATAAGAGCTTGATGTTTAGGATCCTTTTAAAGCCTATTTTTGTGGTTACTTTATTGCTTTTGTTGGAAAGAAAAGAGTAAGAGGTCAGAGCAAGAAAATTTGGAAAGTTAAAGAACTTTTGAGAATATAGACAACATAACATACTACAGAACTATAGAGGGCTTTTATGTCTGCCAAATAGGAATTTAATTGTCTTTACACATTTGATAGAGAATGCTCATTGAGTCACATCAAGCAAAGATATTTGGAACAAAGAGAATGGCAAATGATTGGCAGACCTTGGATAGTATTAGATCAGAAATTACTATTTTAGATACATATTCAGAAAAATTGGAACCAGCTAATAGTTTTGGCCATATATGGATTTTGGCCAAATATGGATTTTTGTTTTTATGCATCAATTTAAAATATACCACTCTAATCCTTTAGCCAGGTTTATTACAAAAGCAATCATTTTCTCAACTAGTAAGAGGACATATCAATCCTGTTCTTCATCTCCTCGTTTATTGGAACCACAAGAAGTGGTATGCAAAGGGCAGAAAACGAGTCACTGTGGGTGAGTTGGAAAGCTACATAAATTTGTTAAACAAACAAACAAACAAATAAATAAATAAATACATTTTCTTTAGAAACGGCAAAAGAAACAGTAGGAAAGAGAGCTGGATTCTATGGTTGTGTTTCTAAAGGTCTCTGGCTAGAATGGAATGAAAAGAGAGAAGGAGTTATGCTTCTGTGACCTTAAAGCCCATGAGACTGCCAATGGGAAATCACATTGATTTGATCCACCAGAAGCATTAGAAATGCAACAGCTGCACAGAGGTCAGCTTGCCAGAAAATGTTAGGCTTTTGGAGTGCGTGCATCAAAACCTTTTGTTTCTATCGGCAATCGGAGTTGACCCCAGGCCCTCTGTGACCAATTTGTACTATTTTATTTGTCTCAATAAAGGACATTTTTGTTTTGTTTCCTTAGATATCACTTGATGTTTTAGAAGAGTTCCCTCAAAGTGAAGGCCACTTTTGGGCCCATTCAGAAACATTGTGAAAAATCAATGAAGTTACAGAATTTAGACTACTACTGAGAGGAAACTATAGTAGCAAAGAACCGTTCCAAAAATGTATTTCTGGTACCAAAGCAAATGTACTCTTACACTCTATTTTTCAAAAGCCCAAAATATGTCAATGAAATATTTGCTGCTATTCTGTTTTTAGATTTCCCTGCATGTTCAAGGTTGTCAAGCATACAAATCAAGCATACAAATGTTTTATATCAAGTCTTGTTAAGGGCAAGGGTGAAGTTCCAAAGAACTGTTTGTAAACAGCTCATTTAGTATGTATTTCTGATTTGTATCCAATGTTAATTATATCTAACATCTGTTCTATAAAACAGCATTTATACTATGCATGCACTCCAAATTTTGCACCAAGCAATGATTAATTTTTAAAACCTTTATATAGGTTAATGACAGTTGAGCACATTTTATAGTTAGATTAAATGTGAATTAAACTGCATTCCTTTCCCATCAGTGAAAGTCTCTATTAATGGAACAGGAAGGGCCAATTCACCTTCCTTTTTAAATGTCTAAGTGCTCCATTGGATTGCTCACCCTTAAACAAAATTAAGACTGGCCAGGTCTTCCAGGCATTAAATTTCCATTAAACAAACAGGAGTCCAGTCACACAACATGGTATTTCATCCAGCTTCTCTTATGTAAATCATAACTGCCCAAATGACTGTAATAACCTGAGTGCCATTGCAGTGAAAAACACATTTAAAAAGATGACATTTTCTGAAGACTTTGTTCTATGCCCAGAAGCTTCCATAGAATTGCAACCTGTACACAATTTTGTCTTTAATCCTTCTTGCTATATTCAGCAACAACAACTTTTTAGGATGCTGTTGAGAATACTGTTATTTCCAATTGTAGACTGAGGAATCTCTCTCTCTCTCTCTCTCTCTCACACACACACACACACACACACACACACAGAGAGAGAGAGAGAGAGAGAGAGAGAGAGAGAGAGAGAAGGAGGAGGAGAGCTATGTTAGTCTAACACAGCAAATAAATTAGAAATGTGGTAGTACTTTTTCTGAGGAACAAATTTTATTAAATGTCATTGGCTTTCATGAGTTGCATCTCATTTCAATCAGATGCTTGAAAACACACAATATTTCTCAACTTACCGTATCACAGATAAAACCCCTATGAGGGAAAATCTGGAGTAAGAAATTTTAGATGGGAAACAAACTGTTATGAGTACAGGAAAAAAAAAGAAATATTAAGGGGGGGATTCTTACCAAGACTGTTATTTTCAAGTCACAAATAAAACTGTTCACTGGACTAATAAATAGTAAGTGAATTGTGGAAAAACATTGGATGATGATTAAATTTCACATTTAGAGAGCTGAAGCCTTAAATTACGTTTTGTTCAAACTTGAGTAATCTCAGCAAGGGAATATTCTTCTCACAAACTAAATGAAGAACACATTTAAATATCAGCTTTACCCAATTAGAGGTATTGGAATCTCTTAAATAAAATAAGTGAAAAATCTGTGAAATTCAGAGTGCTATCCTAAGCAGATCTATTCATGGTTTGGCCTGTTCTGACTATATAAAGCAGCTTTGCATTGATTATCGCCCTCAGCCCATCCACCTTAATACTGTTTATTCTGTCATACACAGAACCAGGGATTTATTTTAACTGGACTAGTTATTAACTTCATTATGTTGTATCATAAAATGGGTAAGCAGATGCTTACTCATATGAGGTGGGCTTGTCCTATTTTTGCTCGTAGCAGATTGCTGGGTTTATGCTATACTGATGAGTAGCATTTATCATAAGGAATATATTTTTGTAGCTATGATCATTAGAACACATACAAAAAAAAATCCATAGGCAAGTACTGCTCATTTACATTTATTCATTCCTGTAATTGTGCATATATTTAATGGAGAAAAGGCTGAAATATCACTTATATTCCAAAGTTTGCCTGCTGTGCCCAGGGTTATGTGATACAGACAGTGGTGGGATTCAAATATGTGAACAACTGGTTCTCTGTGTGGATGCTGCTTCCGGAAGACCATTCTGGGCCTGGGCAAAAAAAAATTAGCTACCGGTTCTGCTGAAGTGGTCCAAACTGGCTGAATCCCACCACTGGATACAGACTAGACATCTGTAGAGATGAACACTCAGAAACTTAGTTCAAATAAAGTGGGTGTGCCCTGAACACAAGCCTGTGGACTAGAAAGAGGAGAAGACGCAACATCAGATTGCAGAATTTAGATCTTTAGCAATAGCAATAGCACTCAGACTTATATACTGATTCACAGTGCTTTACAGCCCTCTCTAAGTGGTTTACAGAGTCAGCATATTGGCCCCCAACAATCTGGGTCCTCATTTTACCAACCTCAGAAGGATGGAAGGCTGAGTCAACCTTGAGCCGGTGAGACTCGAACTGTTGAACTGCTGGCAGCCGGCAGTCAGCAGAAGTAGCCTGCGGTACTGCATTCTAACCACTGCGCCACCACGGTTTTTTATTACCTTCCCACTGATCCCTGCCCACCTGTCATCCCTTGGCACAGAAAAGAGGGCATCCAGTAAAGGCCAAATAACAAACTAAGATGCAAGGAGTCATGCCACAGTCTTCTTTAACAAGTATGCAGAGGTATGAACAGTTTGTCTGAGGATAACATGTAATTATACATTGTATAATTGTACAAATAGCAGAATAAATGTGATTGAAATGCAACAGCAAAATTCCACTAAATTAAAAGCATTTCATATAAAACTTGCATTACAAAAATGATGGAAATGGGGGGGGACATTCATTCTTTACATTCGCACAAGAAAAACATAGAGAAAGAGTTGTTTTCAAAAAGTATCTTGAAAAGGAGGTTGCAGGCAATATGAACAGTGCTAAGTCAGGAAAAGATCATTACACCACCACAAACGCTCAGCTGGGCACTGATCTTGGTTGAACCTGCAGTCCAATATGTTGTAACACTGGCTCAGGCCAATTCACATACTTGGAATCCAGGATATTTTTTTCTTGCAGTCACGCTGTAAGCCAGCTTCGCCAAATCATTGTCCGGTATTGTGTGGGGTTCAAACTTTGCCAAACAAAGGCAACATCACTTTATAAGTTGACGATCTTATATTTAATACATTCTGACATCAGGCTATACAAACTGGTGTAAAGAAAGTCAATAGGAATGCTATTAAAATTACCCTATCCATCAAAGGGCTTCCACTAGCAATTACCTTGAGACATTTGCTGCTGTGTGAATACTTGAAAACAGCTACTGACCAAAACCACTAGAAACTGGCATTCTTGGCTCAAGTGCAAATCTGGATTTAGCTGTGGGATTTTGTGTGTTTCTGTGACTGGCATATGTGAGCCCCTCCAAAGGTTGTAATTATATATCATCAGTATTACATAACATTTGCCCAGATGAGATCATTTTACCAATTAAGACATTTTTGGGGAATGTTTCAGCTAAACTTTAGAACTTAGCCAAGCTTCAAAACAGAGAAGGTATGTTTTTTTCTAAGTATTTTGGGGAGGGGAAAAGAGATCAAGTGTCTAATTGGTTTGACTAATCAGTAAGGCTATAAAATTTGTAAATAATAAATTTATTGCTTCTTTTCTTCTGGAAAAAAATCCATTTGTCCTTTCTGATCGATAAAATATTTACATTGGTTTTTATGCCAAACATTATTTTAAAAAATAATGCAAGATTACATTAAGGCAGTAACATATGGGCTGCAAAAACATTGGCAACTCCTAGGTGGCAGCAAAGATTAAAAGTGTCCTGTATGCCTGCTGCTGCCCTTTACTGGCTATCTGGATATTACCACTCAGCTCTATTGATTTAAAGGCAGCTTCAAATGCCATTTCCAGACTGGCTACATTTCAACCACACAATAACCTCCAAACTTACACACTTCCTCTCTTCATTCTTCTCTCTGATGCACAAAAATAAGAGTTTAATTAATATTCAGACATCTTATGCTTAATCTTGAGCAAGCAAGATTTGCAGCCCACATTTTGAAACTGTTTTATTTTAGCAAACCAAAGTTAATGATCCTAGTTACAGTAGATTCAAGCAATACCACAATGTTAATCATAAATGGAAGCAAAAACTTTAAACTCCTCACAGCTTCTCCAGAGAGTACAGGAGTAGCAGACCTATGAATCAGAGTTGGAACAAGCAGGTCAAGAGGTATCCATGTATTCTTATCACAGTAAACCATGGTTTTAGTGTGACTTCCATATATAGCTTTATATATGGTATATAAAGTACACTGTCGTAGAATTTCCAATGTGTTCAAGAAATTAAGTACATAAAGAGTCAGATTGTTAAGATTGACACTGCCCTAGAGAAAATGAAATTCAATGGTGAAAAAAAGGTTCTACATTTAGACAAGAAAAACCAAATGCACAAGTACAGCATAGGTGGCACCATGCTCAATAGTAGTAACTGTGAGAGGGACCTCAGAGTCCTAGTAGACAATCACCTAAATATGAGCCAGCAGTGTGCTGCAGCTGCCAAAAAGGCCAACACAGTGCTAGGCTGCATTAACAGAGGGATAGAATCAAGATCACGTGAAGTATTAATACCACTCTACAATGCCTTGGTAAGGCCACACTTGGAATACTGCATCCAGTTTTGGTCACCACGATGTAAAAAAGATGTTGAGACTCTAGAAAGAGTACAGAGAAGAGCAACAAAGATGATTAGGGGACTGGAGGCTAAAACATATAAGGAACGGTTGCTAGAATTGGGTATGTCTAGTTTAACGAAGAGAAGGACAAGGGGGGACATGATAGCAGTATTCCAATATCTCAGGGGCTGCCATAAAGAAGAGGGAATTAAGCTATTTTCCAAAGCACATGAAGGCAGGACAAGAAGCAACGGGTGGAAACTAATCAAGGAGAGAAGCAACCTAGAACTAAGGAGAAACTTCCTGACAGTGAGAACAATTAATCAGTGGAACAGCCTGCCTCCAGAAGCAGTAAATGCTCCAACACTGGAAGTTTTTAAGAAGAGACTGGACAGCCATTTGTCCGAAATGGTGTAGGGTTTCCTGCCTGAGCAGGGGGTTGGACTAGATGACCTCCAAGGTCCCTTCCAACTTTACTACTATTATTATTATTAAATGCCTAGAAACTGTTTTGTGAAAATCTCAGGCTCAGAATGAAGTTTTTTTTCAAAACGATTTTTATTAGTTTTCCATTTTATACCAACACAGCTTAAGAACCACATGGAAACATGGTGTTCAATTTTTTAAAAAAACAAATAACATAATAAATATATACACAATATTTCTTAATATTCCCTCTCTATCTATATAGAATATTATAGTCAAATTAATACATTTTCAGATAAATTCATTCATTACTATGTCTAACCATCAACTGCATTAATCAATAAAAAGTTTTCAATCTATAGAAACCTATATTTTTCACACATTTAAACTTAAACTTAAAGAACTATCCATTTATTTAAAAAATTATAATCAAATCCATATCTTTCTAAAACCAGTTCATTCACTAATATATCATTTCATCCAGGTTATATAATTAAAAATAAACTAACATTCTCTATCTATTTATATTGTTATAAGCTCATTAAAACATTTCTAAAGCAAGTTTTCATTGAATATATCACTCTATATAAATTTCATTAATCAATAAACATTTACAAAAACTCATTATCCATCCCAAAGATCTTTATTTTGCATATATTTAGTCTTAAACTAACATATTCATTTACTATTCAGGTGCCCCAAGTGTTTTCTTATTTAAACATTATTAACTCCAAAAATAAATTATTCTCTTTCTCACCAATATTCTATTGTTTTTCATTGTTTCTCCAAATCTCCAATAATTAGTTCCATCTTTTCCCATATTTCAGTCCTTTTCTCATTATACCATCTCTAATATTAAAAA